ACGGTGAAGGTCCGGAATTTCGCCGATAACGCGTGGGGGCGGCGTGCCTCGGTGCAAAGCCTTGAGACGACGAGTGTCGCTGAACAGAAACACGTCTGGCCAACCTTGGCTTACGCGACCGGGTATGGCGCCTCGGGTCGGGAGCGGCGGTGCTCGGGGGCCAGCTCCCTCTTCGGGGATGGAGCATCGGCGTACTCTAAAGCCGGAGACACGAATCTCCAGGTGCTCTGGTGAGCGCTCGCGGAAACACGAAATAAAGTAAAACGGGGGAAAATTAACAATAATCAAATAAAAATAATTACAACACGGCGACTTCCTTCAGGACGGGCTCCTCCTAGACCTGGGGGCGGCGATCCTGAAACGGGAAACTGCCAAAGGACGTTATCACGACCTGGGAGGAGAGCGCGGTGGCGGAAAACGACACGTGCTCAACGGTTTCAGTTTCTGGCGGTAAGGAAAAAAAAACGGTGACGGCGTTAAAACGGTACTTATGGTAGTCGGTTCTTACAGGGACTCTGCACTTTTCCAAGACTACACACTTTGGAGAAAACGGCCAGATTTCAAGAAAGAATTTCTCTGTAAATTTTACGGATTTACCCCCATCTCTCTCGGTACGCCTCCCGATTTCCGGTCCGCGAAAATTCGCTTCATTACAAGCGTTATAGTTTAGAATTGCTTGAAGGACGTAGAAATATGTCAAGGGCGAAGTTTTTAGCAAATTTGGTACAGGGCAGATTGGTGTCTTTATCTTCATTGTTTTTTAGAGTCCCACGTGCTAAAAGTCGGCAGTAAATAATATTTAGGACATTATGTTATAGAACGAACTTGGGTCTCTATTCTCCAGTGAATAGTATGGAGAAAATAATAAACCTCAATGACATAATTAAGAAAATAATGGGAATGGTGAATACAGCTTTATACAGGGTGTTTTTTTTAAACTGATCCAGATTCAGAATTTAATCATTCCATGGGAGAAATACTTTGGTCCAAAATACTAGTCCCTCTCCCCCCTCCTTGTAGGTGGGGTGGGGGGTAACTTTGAATTTTTAAATAGGAACCCCGAATTTTTATTACAGGCTCTACGGTTAAAAGTGCGTAGGGTTTGTCTAAAACATTTTTTTAGATCCATGACCGTTGACGCTGTAATAAATGAAATACAATTTTTCGGTTTCTCTTACTGAAAACCTGTGCATACAATTCTGCAATACGTTTGCAGTAAAAAATACCACGTTTCCATTGTAAATAATCAAAAACATTATTGAAGGCAACTTGAACGGTGAAATGTACCGAGACATTTTGGAAAATAAACAGCCAACATTATTTGAAAACTTGAGCTTAGAAGTGCAACAGAACATGTGGTTTCAACATAATGGTTGTTCAGAACACTATTCGATGGTAGCACGTGAAGTACTTGATCCTGATTTCAATGGTCACTGGATCGAGAGAGATGGTCCGGTAAATTGGACAGATCTTAGTTCACCAGATTTATTTTTGTAGGGCTATCTCAAAGACAAAGTTTACACACAAGAAACAACAAAACGTGAGAATATGATTGAGCACATCATAATGCTTGTGCCAAAATTCGAACACACACGTTCCTCAGTGTACGTTCAATATGCATTGAATTCCAAGGCCACCATTTTGAGCACCTACTTTAATTGAAAGATGATAAGGCGAGGGGACTCGTGTAAATTAAGCACCCTGATAAGTTAGAAGCGCAGAGACTCACATAAATCAAGCAGCCTGATAGGTGAGAAGCGAGGAAACTCACCTAAATCAAGCATCCTGAGAGGCGAGGGGACTCACCTAAATTAGGCCCCCTGATATATGAGACGCAAGGGGACTCACGTTAATCAAGCACCCTGAAGGGAACAGAAAACTAGTTCGTCCACATCGTTGTTCCTGGGTTACATTAAAAGTAGTTTAATCGTCAGCCATTTACACTTCTACAGGTAACAGTTTACAAGTTATTTGAAATTTGCAACATGAATAAACTTTTTTGACGACGAATTTCGAGTATTTACACAAAACGTAGTATTTTTTTTGCCAAAGTATTGCAGAATCGTATGCATGGGTTTTCAGTAGGAGAAATTAAAAAAAATTGAATTTCGTCGATTCAGCGCCATCTACCACGAATAAAAAAAATGTTTCAGACAAATCATACGTACTTTTAGCCGTAGACTCCGAATCTGCAATAAAAAATGGCAGTTCCCGTTTAAGGTTTCGAAGTTAACCCCTGCCCCAACTGCAAGAAGAGGGGAAGGTTGCCTAATTTTAGCACTAGTGTATTTCCCCCACGTCATCATTCTGATCATTTTTATTTTTCGAGATATTTGAAAGATTCAGTTATGTTCTGTTTCAAGCATTTTTTTTTTTTTTATTAGAGTGACAATGCAAATGTCAAACTAATAACTAAATAAAGGTAACTTCAATACAAAGTCGCTAAATTAATCCCTAGCAGTAGGTCTGTGTATATCCACTCCGGTCAACAGTTATTTTAAAAGCCTTTCACCCTATCCTGACGTCATTAAATTGGCGCTTCACATGAAATACTAATTTTCAGATACAATCGGTTTAATAATAATGAATGAGTAATCAATAAACTTTTGCATTCAAATTTAGTAGGTTAAAACACAATAAAAAAATAATAAACAAACACAAAACACCTCGTCACATATCGTCTCGGGCCCCAGTCTCGGTTTCCCCTGTAAGACACGGTAAAAAAATACAAAAAATTATAATTCCATGGCTGACTAAACGACGTTTTTTTTTCGATTGTTGTATGGTATTATACGCAGAACGTTATCCTAGTATCCAGAAACATTTTATTGACTCTGAAGTTAAAAAGGGTAATATCTGTGTAAATAGACTCTAAATTAGACTGTATTAGTTAGTAGCAGCTAGAATCCGGTGCTAAAGACGTACTTATAAAATATCGGTGTTCAGTAATTAATCATTCAAAATTAGTTTTCACGGTAAAAAATATTTGCAAGACCAAACTTATTTGTATTTCTAGCTATCTATTACTAATCTATTTCATCTTAACAAATAACCTGTTCTTTTAATTCTTTTAATTAAAAATTTATTGTTTAAATTTCTTGTGAAAACAACTCTCACAAGTTTCCAAGACAACCCTGATTAAAATCATGCATATATGTATTATTATTAAGTATCTAAAGCGATTTTAAATACTAGAACAACAATGAATCATCCAAAAATGGCAATTGCAATTAAATGTTTAATAAGTATGGGCTGAGATTGTGATTACCAGACTACAAGAACATTTATTAGCATGTTTTTTACATTTCGGAGAAGTTCCTAAGTCTGGGACTGGCGACCCAAAAATCCAGTTCTTGCATTATGTCCGTGTTTTTATCATTTACATCCATCAGACTAAAAACTACAAGCTCAGTGAATTTTTGAGAAATTTGTCCGATATCGACACAGGTGTCCCCGTTTAGTGGATCCGAGAGGAGAGTCGGCATTAAAAACAATTAAACGGTATTATTATTGTGTTATACCCGACAGACTGATCGCTTCCTGCATCATTAATCATTCCGCTGACCATCCTAGTTAGTCCGCTGTAACCCACTTGGCCTAGCTGCATAAAAAGCACTGACAGAGCTTGATGATCGTTTTCATAAATTTATATAAATTTCGTTTTAATGTTGAGGTAATTTAGTCGTATGCACGAGGCGAAATTATCGTGAGGAATGCGTGAGGTCTTCGGTGGGTTGATACGTAATTTATTTCCTTCATGCTCTCGGAGCTAATGTTTTATTGTTATTTACGACACGTAATTGTTCACGTGTCTCTAATTTGAACTAAACAAAAATCGTTTCGTTTGTATGCTTAATTAACAAGCTTCATCAAAGCGAGTGGAATAAATTACTTTTAATTTGGGCTTTTTTTGACTTTATGGACTGTGGAACCACAACACACGGGAAAACCAGATTCGATTTTTAAAGAATTTTGTGTATCACTACACATAATGATTTACTTTTTTAGCAAACTACCTAATATTATATGATAATGTTTGCATTAGAAAAAGTGTTACTACGCAATTTGTCGCTGTGTTTATTTGATATAGAATATACTGGATCAGAAATGGTTAACTTTGTTATTTAAAGATTCGAAATGATGAGACTGAAAATGGATTGATAGATTTATGCATCTAATGTGCTCGTGTGGGAAGGGAGATGTTACAAATTGCGATATCAAGAATTTTGTACATTACACGATACATAAATTTTTTAGGTCTTGGATGATTTACGAGTCTCGTCATTAGTCTCGCGTCTTAAACACCTCTTCGACTAGAATTTTCTCTTGCGCACTTAGCTATGAATACAATTTTTGTATTTGCTCGTTTTTCAGTTTTACATAAATCATACGTCCCCCGATTTTGTGTCTCAAGCGTTTATTTTTTAATCTTTCTGTCATATTTTCCAACTGCCCCAACCTGCAACATCCCCATAATCAGATCAGCTTTCCGACAATTCGCTTCAATTTCATCCGATATCCGTGCTTCTGGCGCGTGGTCTGCATTTTGTCTGAACCACGAAGGTCCTGAAGCGGTCGATTCGCTTTCCAGGTTTTATAATGCACCTTACTTATTCATTGCACACAATCGCATCAATAATTAATGAAAGTAGGGGTCAGACTGGCCTTTTTAAAAGACCCTACTTTATTGAGTTCTCCCGGCAAATAGGTTGTTTTTGTTTGATAACTTTGTTTGATGGCTTTTTTACAGGAACCGGTCCACATAAATTTAAAATTATCTAATACCGATGCCGTTTGGACACATATATGGACCATTTGCCAAATGAAAACGCATAAATTGACCGATCTGTTATTTCTTTTCGATTAGAAATCGCTGACCGATCGATAGCGGCCTTGAGCGATTGTTCGCTTCGACTTCTGATGAAATTGGGTAGCAGTGGGCAGAAGATACCTCAAGGCATCGCTGCGAGGCCCTTCTTTTTCGTAACGTTGTGCTGAAAATGCCAGGTTTGTTGGTACAGGTGCCAAGACAACAATGTATAATTAGTATGCTATTATTATGCGAATAAGGCGACTTGCACGGCTAAAACATTATGTTAATCAGTTGGATTTCTGATATTATAGGCTGAGGTGTTCGCAGACAAGCGCCTATAATGTTCTAACAGAATATTTTAAATTACACAATCATGCGAAATTAAAATTTCAGCACGAACAAAAAACTGCCGGGCTTATTGTTCGAAACAAAGGATCTTGACAATAGCAAATTAATAAGTGTTTTTTTCTTAATTTGAACAATAGACAACTGTGGCTGTGTGGGCTCTTATTCAGAAAAAATACTTGTTCTTGAAATGTTTAACGGCCAAGTTTATCTGAAGCACCTATTGTTAAAAACACACAAATTTGTAGAATTCTACAATAAAGACTACAACTATGTACATATATTGTATAAAAAGTATAACAACGGGTTACACAATTGTTGGGTATAGTTTTATAATACCAGTCCAATGACAATTGCACCTATTTAGCTTGTTCTATTAAAAATGAATGTTAGAAATTGTACTTGACCTGATCAACTTCTACAATAAATTTGTAAATACCATTCTATGATATTACTTAATTAATTAGTATTGTGAAACTAATGATGCTGAAAATTTGACTTTAATCACTTATTATTACGAGAGTAAAGGTTAAGGCAATCACATCAGAACGAAAATCTCTAAAAATAATTTGAAAACAATGAAGACAATTTATTTAATGTGAAGTCTTTGCAACCGTAAGAACACTTATCCCGGTTATTGTCAACCCCTGTAATCTAAGCTGCATGCCGTGTCTCCACTGAAAAAACTACTCATTAAAAGATAACAATAGATGCTTTTGTACTCTCTCCACCTGACAATAATAGAGTTGCATTTTGAATAAAAGCACTTGCCGCATCACCCTGATGTACAATACTTTGTTCTCATTTATGCGTACCGTCGAAAATCGATTCTTGTATCAAAGAAAAAACAAACGTGTTATCATTTGTGTAGTTTTTTTGCTGCAGATAATCGCGTCGTGATTCTGCGGTCACAGCCATAACAGGAAACGGGAACCAGACCAAAGACGACGTTCCGACGGCATTTACAACGTCTAATGATGTGGACGGGTAATTGGCTACCTGTTGTGTAACTGGACAATACGGATTGACGACAAATTAATTTACTTCATGCAGCGCAGGAATTAATGCGTTAAGGATATGCAAAAAGCAGCATAAGTATTTTAATTTCTGGATGTTCCCACTAAATACGAGTATTATGAAGAAATTATATGTGTTGTCTGATCTTTTCGCCTTGCGAGAAACTCTTTTTTAATTTTGTTAAAGATTTACTTTTCCCATTACATTGACTCTAGACCAGTTACAAAAATTGAATGAGATTATTAAATAAGTGTTGACCTCGCAACTCAATTGTAGTGTTATTTTCCGTCTAGAGCAACTACACATGCTTCAATTATTATCATTACATCCACACTATTGGAATAAAAATTCTGATTTATGAGTCCAGTATAGAAAAAATTCTTTAACAACCTTACAGGTGACTTTGGCCAGTGTGGGTAGTTCACATCGGAATGTTTTCGTATAAACAAGAAACTTTCAAAGGTCCCACGATTTTGCTTTATAATTCAGGTTTGTAGAATGCAACGCGGACTTTGAAAGATGTATTGTGTTGCGTACTAGCGTCTCTAGCTGTCCGAGTTTGCTGAAAGCATGCACACATGTGCGTACCCAACTGTCCATGCAATAATCTAGTAATTTATCTAGGGATTATTTTGAAAGAGCAACTCTGTTACTTTCACGGAAGAGCGCTATAAGTGTGTAAAATACGCACGTTGCTACGACAAGAATTACATACATTACCGAGATTAAAGAGCGTGTGGTACGCAGTATATTCTCACTTGAATGTAATTTTTGTTATTTGGTGATCTTTTTACGTTGAGCAAAAGAGAAATTGGATTCTCGTAGACTATAATTATAGGAAGTTGCTATATTGCATACGCAGCATTTTTCTCCCGAGAGACGCGAATGGCGGGTAATTATTATCCAGTTCTGTTGTCGCGTTCCGGGAGGCTAAATTGCCGCGGTTTTCGGTCTTTGGGGAGACGCAGGCAGGGGCGTAGCACAATCGTGTGCATCCTAAATTGTTGTGGTAATTTTTATATAAAAATTTGCAGCTAATCTGGCGCTCGGATGAATTAAATTGTTTCAAAACTACTACCTGCGTGTAAAATAAAATTGGCAATATTGAATTTGAAAAACAAAATTTGGTCAAAAACACCACAAAAGTGATCTTAGTTTTCCGGTTTTATAGGAGATGAATACCATTTCTGTTATGGAGGTACACAGGAAGCACAGACAACATGTCTAGAACATCTAAAATGTATAGGTTTCGCCTGGAATTAATATTTTTCGATGTAGTTTGGAGCTCGGTGTTGAGATTTCACGCGATTAGAAAGGAAATGTAAGGGATAAACGTAACTAGATTTTCCCCAAATAGTCAGGTCAGACACATACTACTTCGTTGTGACTGTAAATCGAACTATAAACTCATATTAAATGTTAACATGTCATCAAATTACCTTTGGAGGCAATGTTATTTCAAATTCTTCGAAATTATACTTTCAAATTACAGGTTACATAAGAGGTTTCTTATAATATTAATTAAAAATTGTAGAATTCTTGGATGCTATCCTCCGACAATAGCACTGTGACGTATACTTAATCTTTAGTTAAAAAAAATTACTCTTGTGACAAATTTCATAGACCAATTCTTTTCGAAAGTGACTATTTGTCCGAAATTTGTCTGTTCACGCTGTTCCAAAAAAATGTGGACCCCATCTTCAAATATTATTATTTAAATCTTGTTTGAATGAGGCGTCAGTTTAATAATCTACCCTTCTTTTAAATTTTAATCACTAATTTGTTAGAAATTTTGGAAAACGGAAACATTTATTTAGTGAATAGTAATTATTAACCAAAATGAATTTTTTTGGAATTCGACTTATTCTTCATATTAGACACAATTCATTTTTTAATATTCTGAATCGCTATATCAAATCGTTTAATTAATGTCAGAAAAAGAAATCTAAGGGGTGCTAAATTTGGACTGCAATCTGGTCATGGAGCAAGACCTCTATTGCCGACCCACTTTTCATCATAAATGTCTTTCAGAATAAGAAAAAATACGACAATTTTGCACAGACATAAAAAAAAATTGTTATAGTCGAAAATTTATAACGTTAAAGTTGAGAGTAGTAGATAATTGTGTTTGCTTATCTCTTTTATATAACAATATATGGCACCGACATATATCTCTTCAAGTAGATAATTTATGTTATTTACATTTAAAACGATATAACATATAACACATAGGTATAAGTGTTTCCTATGATTCTAATCGTGATTGAATAAACAATCAAAATCCATTAAAAAAGTATATGTTACAACTTGAAAAACATAGATGTGCGTCTTCATTGCAATATACTAAATTACGCTTCACCCATCAAGCTAAAAACAGTGGCGTTTAACAATTTCAATATTTCGATCTCAAAATATCAGGCTGCTGAATTTAACCTGGGACATCCTGTATTCAAAAATGTTTATTTTGTGCGAACAATTGGTCTAAAGTTATTTCGACAGAACTTCCCTCGCCTCTGAAATACAATCCAGTTTTTTCAAAAAATTATAAAATTTGATTACCTATGCGAATTTTTTTTTATGAGTATCGTTATAAAAGATATGTATTATGTAACGTTAAAATAAGTGTAAGGAGGCGTGCTGAACGTACGTTCCAAATGTGTTTTCCCTTAACAAAATATGATGACGTGTTCAACATTTATGCAGAGACATCTATATCACTTTGGATAGGTGCACTGTAATACTAATGATAACAGTATTGTATTCCCAAATTTTCGGGAAAATGCAGGGAGCCGTTCCCGATTTAATCAATAGAATAAATTGACTCATTCATTAATTTTTATGAATCACCCTGTATAAGAAATTTAAAAACTTTAATTGCAATGATAAATCACAAGTATATACTCATCATATTTTGCACATTTTAGATAGGAGTTATTCGGCAAAATTTTGAGATGGCGTCATCAGTTTTTTTGGGAGGGGGTAAACAAACAAATACATTTTGCGCAACCATTTATCACGATTACGATAAACTTAAAATATTTACAAAATTTCAAAGCAATCGGTTGTGCAGTTTCAAAGTTATATTGCAAAATATTGTTAATCAGTTTTTAATTTTTTTCCAAAAATTCTGGATGTTTAGGGTGACAATTCGCCACGGATTCATACACCATGCATATTCAAATTCTGTAATTTTTAGAAAAGGCTTGATTTGTTTTATTGTATTTCAAGGGCGAGGGAAGTTCTGTCGAAATAACCTTGGACCAATTTTTTCACTCCATATCATTACATAACGTATCATCCAGTGAGCTATTTCACAGCAGCTATAATGTTTTTCGTTGTGATAGAAATCAAGGACGGGGAGGTGGTGTTTTAGCTGCAGTCAAGAGTAAATTTTTACCTATCCCAATGAACATTGTATACAACATTCCAGAAATTGAATTATTGGGAATAAAAATATCAGTCAACAATCGCACAGTTTCTATTGTGACGGTCTATGTGCCACCCAATCTCCCTGATGTTATATATACTCAACTATTTGAATGTTTAGAACAAAATATTGACTTCTCCAATCCTGTAATACTAGCTGGTGATTTAAACATTCCTGATCTCGTTGAAGTTATGACTTCTAGTAAATCAACTCAACTTCTTAATATTTATAGACATTTTAGTACTCTAAATAATCTTACACAACACAACAATATTCTAAATCATAATGGGAAAATCTTAGATGTTCTTCTTACAACTGATCACTTTAACATTGATATTTGTAAACATTCCGTCCCACTGGTCCCGGAAGATCCTCACCATCCTTGTTTGGAAATGATTATCTCTTGTGTTAATGAACAATGTAATACTCGCTTCCCCAGAAATTCTGAGTCTTTGAAGTTTAATTTTCGAAGAGCTAACTTTATGGAACTCTACTTAACCTTGTCACTTATTGACTGGTCAAGAATCTTAGAAATTACTGATGTTGATTCCGCATGTAAAGAGACTTATATCATCATTTATGATCTACTGCATAAGTATGTGCCTCTGCAGAGAACAACAACTAAAAGAAAGAATTATCCAATGTGGTTTACAAAATCAGTTATTGATGTGGTCAATTTAAAAAATAAGCACTGGAAATGTTATAAAAAAACAAAATTTCTATATCATTTGGACAAATTCAAAGAACTTAGACGGTTGGCCAAAACAGAAATTCGAAAAGAATATCTTAACTTTGTTAGCCACTCTGAAACTATCATGAAGGATGATCCCAAAAAGTTCTGGTCGTTTGTCAACATGAAAAAGAAGAGAAGTAGTGTGCCGGGACACATGATTCATGAAGGTAAAACACTTACATCTCCTGAAGATATTGTGAATGCATTTGCCCAACAGTTTGAGACTGTTTTTGTATGTGATAGTGCTAACCATGTCTGTGACATCACTTGTGATATTGGTTTTGGTGTCTGTGACTACTGTGATAAATTGTGTTGTCCATCTTTAGTTAATGAATACAGCTGTTTGCATTCAACTGTGTTAAACAACTTTTGCATTCATCCGGATCAAATTTTGAAGGCGGCGAAGAAATTAAAGAACAACTGCGTTGCTGGCCCAGATGATGTACCTGCGTTTATAATTAAGGATTCTATCTCTTGTTTGTTGGTACCCCTGTGTCATATTTTTAATTTAATATTAGAAACTGGTTCATACCCTACCATATGGAAGTCATCGCGTTTATGTCCTGTACATAAGTCTGGCGATAGGAATAAGATTGATAATTATAGACCAATTGCTCTTTTATGCAACTTTGCAAAGCTGTTTGAGTCTGTCCTGTCTGACATTATGTATTCTCATGTAAGAAATGGTATTATTGTTGAACAACATGGATTCCTTAAAGGTAAATTTACAACTACAAATTTGTATGAATTTACACATTTTGTGTCGCAAGCCTTGGATAAGAGGTCCCAAGTCGACGTTGTGTACACTGATCTCTCCAAAGCTTTCGACAAGGTTAATCATTGTATTTTGCTTCGCAAGTTGGATGCTTTTGGTATTTCTGGAAACTTAATAAAAGTGATTAAGTCGATGTTACTAGATAGACAGCAGTATGTGGAATACAGTGGTTACAAATCAAAATTGTTTAGTGTACACAGTGGTGTTGCCCAAGGATCCAATCTTGGTCCACTCCTTTTTATCATGTTCTTGAATGATGTTGTTAACTATATAGACTGCAAATTTTATATTTATGCGGATGATTTAAAAATTGTCAATATTATAAAAGATCTTTCTGATTGCGAAAAGTTGCAGCAAAACATTGATAAATTTACTTCCTACTGTAAAAATAACCATCTTCCGATTAATAATGGTAAATGCTTAATTATGTCTTACACTAGGAAAGTAGTTACGCTTGTTTTTGATTACAACATAAATGGTACTATGCTTAAGAGATCTGATCGTGTTTCTGATCTAGGGGTTATAATGGATTGTACTTTATCATTTATACCGCATTTTGAGGCTATTGTGACAAATGCAATGAAAATCTTAGGATTTATTATAAGGAATACTATAGACTTCAATGACATTTCCATTATAAGGTCATTATTCCACAGTTTGGTCAGGTGTAAGCTTGAATATTGTGCTGTTATATGGAACCCCTTTCAACATATATATGTAATGTTATTTGAAAATGTTCTTCGTAAATATTGTAAATATCTTTATTTCAAAATGTTCAAGTGTTATCCACCACGACACTGCGACCAAAATGCTCTACTAAATTTAGTTAATGAGACCCCCCTGTGTGCTAGAAGAAATGTTTCTAACTTAATATTCTTACAAAAAATCTTAAAAGGTGCAGTGATAGTCCCCAACTTGTTAAGTGAAATTAAAATGTGCGTTCCTCGAATTAATGTAAGATCTCCTATAACATTCTATTATGTATTACCGAACACCTATCGGCATTTTAACAGCCCCCTTGTAAGTAGTCTTAGATTGTATAATTGTGTAATGCACCATGACATCGATATATTTTTTCATGATTTCTGTTGTAAAAACATTAGAAAGAAACTTTTATCGCTATGTATGTGTACTGGGTCTTAAGAACTCATGCCGAAGTTAAGAAACAATAAGCAATAATTTGATTAGGTCATTTTAGTAATTTTTTTGTTTTTGGTTTATATATATTTATGTTATATCTTTTTATTAATATTCTTGTTTTTTTTTTTTTTTAATCACTTGTGTTATTGTGTTACCTGTATAGACATTATGTCTGTTGGTTTAGAATAAACATTATTATTATTAACATTATTATTATTACGACACCAAGACTAAGCTTCAGAGTCCCAATAAACACTCTGGTACTATGCATTGTATAGGGTCCATCCGACGTCTGGCTACTTTCATGCTTTCTCAACGTAGAGTTCCTGTTTCCGTCTGCCTGTCATCTGTCTCGTGTGTCATTTTATATTAAATAGATAATCTCCGGAACTATTGAACCGACTGTTGTTAAATTTTGAATGTCTATTCGGAATATCGTGCAAATTTATCTGATCGTCTCCACCTACAATTTAATGACGATTGTCAGTAAAGTTCAATTAAATTTTATAAAATAACATACTCTTGTACTTGTGGTTTATGAATCCGCCTTGACTTTTTACCCTACCCAACCAAATTTTCACAAAAAAATTCATTTTATACAATAATTTTTTATATTAGTATAAGCGGCACGGTTATAATTTATATGTCTATGGCATAGCGGCTAATGTCCCGGCTGTACTTTTCTGTGACTCTTATTCCCTATATTTTTTAATTTACAGAGTTGTCACAAAAAATAAATTTTATAATTTTTAAAGAAATGGGCTTTGTTGGACTACACTTCAGAGGCGAAGGAAGTTCTCTTCAAGTAACCTTAAGCCAATTTTTTTTATTTAAATTTTTGGCATTTTTACTACAAAGGATATTACAATTAATTAGTCACAAGTGGTTCCTAAATTATGGTCTTTCCAAAAATATACAACATTTTTTCATATTTTCATGTATTCTTTCTAGAGCTCGTTTCATTTATTTTACATATTTTAATTGTAATTGTACATAAAATCTACGACATATTTGGAAAGTGAAGAAAAACAATGAAACTTTTTTGTATTATTAAATACCTTGTCTAGTACGACATAATATAAAAATAATGTTTATAAGTTATTATTTTTAATTTTATATTATCAAACTGTGAAAATAGTTATTTATCTTATTAGTGGGATAGAGCCATTATTACAGCACTACGAGTGTGAAGATTGCAGAAGACGAGGTCGTTAGACCGAGTCATCTGTAATCACACGAGTTGCTGTAATATGCTCTAGCCCACGTATGAAATACAAAACTTTATCTACAACTGCCCAAAAATGAAAAAGAAAAAAAGCCGATTAAATTTTTTTATTAATTAAAAATCAAGAATCAAGAGAATTTTTGCAGTGTTATGACAACCGCTCAAATTTGTTGTAAACAACGCGTCAATTTTTAGAAAAAAAATGTTGTTCAATCGAGAAATGAGTGATTCTGAAGCAGAAAGCTTGCCTTTTGAAACAGAAGAAGCTGCTGCAAACCTAGTGTCTTCATTGTTCCCTGATAAATCAAAAACCAAATACGAAAAATTTTATAAACGGTTCACTGACTGGTGTGCATCCAAGAAAATAAATCATGAAGCAAGATAGAAGGTGCTGTTGGCATTTTTTGAAGATTTGTCGAAAAGTTATAAGTGCAGCAGCCTTTGGGCTGTATGTGAAGGTTATATCGACACTTCGATTGAAAACAAGAAAAAGACCGCTTCTGATATTCTTGGAGGTGATCCTGGAGCCAGAACAAATACTGCCAGTAGCTACAACCCAGATTCAAGCATTGTTAGAAGAGAAATCTTAAATACTGGAGCTGTAACAAACATTTTGTCAACAAAACCTAAGCATTATGGACAAAGATACAAATCATTTCATTTCATCTGGTATTAATATCAGTAATTGTAAGGAATGTATTATCGACGTGTATAACAAATAAGTTAAGAATTAATCAATGTAATTTGTTGTAATTTACATGTTAATAAAATTCAACTAAGAATTGGAGACCTTCATTACACCACTAGTGGTGTAATCTTTCTATTACACCACTAGTGGAATAAGAGGGTTTATTACTCAACTCAAACAGTGCCGAATGAGTTGTGTAATATGACCTTTATAAAGCAGTTGTAGATAAAACATTTTACTGTATTAATGTTCCGTTCCAAAGAGTTCATATCCGACCATGTATACTTTCTGCTAATTGATGCGATTATTTAAGGCACAGTTACACATCCGCAGGTTTGGACAAACCAGCTTGACAAACAATAAATCAATATAATAAATAGAGTGCAATATATTACAACTTCCTCAGCCACTAGATTTATAAAATTATGATCTGGTCATGATTTAAACCAGTTCTCATGCTGAAACATTTTTGTGGTTGTTGACGAAATTACAAATAATAACCCAGTCCATATGATTTATGGTATAAATGGACTTCACAGTGTCTTGAGTACATAGCTACAATGAATTGAACTAAATTTAGCGAACACCAGTGAACTTTATCCCTGCCATTTACATATAAATATTAGGAGTATAAAATTTCTAAATTTTTAAAGACACTGACAAACACCACTAATCCCATTAATGGAAGAGTGCAGTTATCAAATACAGATGTAGGTATGTACTTTCTATAGTTTTCTCTGCTATTCAGGCATGCTAAGTTATCAAATGTATCACAGTCGAACATGCGTGAGAACGACGTCTCAAACACTGTGTCATTTACCATATCAACTGAACGCGTTGGAGATACTTTTGTTTTCAATTCAAATCACTTCATAGAACATACGTCATGCAGAAAATGCGCATCTAATTTGACGTGCTTCTAATAGAATTAATGAATGCATAAACAAACGTATGAATGTCACGTTTTGTTAGTATTATTTCGGTACCTGAAGCCATTTATGAACAAATATTTAATAATAATTTATTTGTATAAACATTTCATAACAAGTTTTGATAAAAACAGTTAATTCCTTCTATTCGTAGCGCTTTTTGGTACTGTAGTATATGTAGAAAACGAACCCCACTTTTCATAATTTTATCAACTTTTGTAGCTTGAAGACACTGGGGGTATGGTACCCCCCCTGCCTCCCGTAACGACGTCCCTGGACGCAGTTATAAAGATATTCGTGGTAGATTGTCAAAATTGATAATATTGACCAGTAATGGATTAGAGGCGGGAGCGGTGCGACGTGCAGATGGCTAAATCCGATACGGCGCGTTTATTAGCCGTGCACACCGGCAGCAAGCTAAGGGCAAGGTAAGTCTGGTACATTCTCGTCACGATCCGGCGATTGGATGGCAATCCAATAATCTCACTGTTCCGGTCTGACCTGATGCAATTCTTCTCTAAAGAGCCACGTTACTAAATACATTATGTATGATACCGCTCTCTGCTTAGCTTCGCAGATTTCCACTGCTACCTCTATTGTTTTTTGATGTTGAGCTGCCAGGATTGCTGCAGCAGAATGCGAGCGGATGTACGTTTTTGTGGTTTTTGCCGACTAGTATGTTGTACCGTGTGTTTACCTCAAGATTTAATGTAAGCGGCTATATGCGATGCACTTGCCAACAAGATTCTCGATATTACTTGCACAATGTGTTCTTAATTAAAGGTTCTTGATCCGACTGAAGCGGTGTTACCCTTTTAAGTCAGCCTCTGGCAGAAGCATCCCTATGCAATTTGCCCCTAGTAGGATTCAGCTGTACGTTAACATTTTTTAGTTTTTCTTTTTGCCATGTTCCGAATGGTTCAGTACTTATAAATTTTCTCTCGGTTATGTGATACCAAAAAGGGTGATGTGTGTTGTATTTATCACCCAAAAAACATACAGCACTAAAAGTATAACAAAACGCTTCAAGTTGTTTGTAATTGATGTTAATTTAGTGATCATTGTTACATAAATAATAATAATTTGTGAATCAGGTTTAAATAAAATATGTGGCAACACCATTAAAAGTATTTTTCGCATTTTATTATTACCTATTTAATATTTATTAAAGCAGTAAAATTATATTGAGGTTCCCAGTTATCGCAATCAGTCCTAATTTGTTTCAGTACTACATATTTATCATGAGACGAAAGTTCTGAAAGTATTTTTCGAAGATTTCACTTGCCTCTGCAGTACACCCCAACAAATCACGCTTCTTTAAAAAGTTATAAAAAGTTTGCAGTTTTTGTTTGAATTTTTCAATTCTTCAATTTTTCATGCTTTTATTTCTTCGGTTTTTCGTTTTGCATTTTTTCTAGTTTTCAAGTTTAAATTTTTCAGTTTTTCAATTTTCCTCCTTTTGAATTATTCAATTTTTAAACTGCAATTTGTCGATTTAAAATTTCTCGAGCTTTGAATTTTTAATTTTTCAACAGACAGGCCAACAGACAGACAGACGGCAACGAGGGACCTATTGTTTCGTACTCTAGGGGTCATAAAACGTCGAGAAAACATAAAAGTAGGCAGTCGTCCAATGGACTCTTACACTACTTCTTTACCTGACCCTCAGGAAATAATACTTAATCAATTAATAGAGATATACATATATAATTTTTGTATTTTCCCATTATTTCATGAGCAAAAATTTATTAACAAATGTCACTTGCAGCATGACATTTCCTTTTATTTAATTTCAAACATCTTCTAACAATTTTTTTCCAGAATATATTGATATAGTAAATAACCAAACAGTTTAGGCTTAAAAGAAAATCAAGAAATTACTGTTTTTAGAATATACCTTAGATGAACTCCTTATGATTAATTTACTAATAGGTACGAAAAATAGGCAAAAATACTTAAACACTTAAAACTATAATGTAATATAGATTTTTAAATATTTGGAGGACCCACTATCGCCCGAATCTAAAACTGTACTGTAGATAAAAAAGTCTTTAATATGGACTTCCCGTCTGAATAAATTACATTACAACAATTTGACTCTAATGCACTTTATTGCTTGTCTAGGTGTGGCGGGAGCAGATGAGAATTAAAGAGTGATTAATACAGAAATAAGAACGGCAATGAGTTTTG